AACATTATCTCATCCGCCTCAAAGACATTGATATGCCATATAATAATTTATTACATTTAAATATTTATTGGAGAATTTTTTGCATGATAACTATATAAAAATCATCATATAATAAAAAATTAATTAATTTAATTATTAATGTTAAATTAATTTAACATCTTTTTACTACACCTAATACAATTGCAGAAAATATTGGGCGAAAATATAATTAATATAAAATTGACTAAACAATTGTTCTAATGGAAGTTTCGCAATATCATAATATCTTTAATTTCTAATTAATTTGATGTAATATCAATAGATATCGATGGACACGCTAAACATATTAAAATATCAAATCAAACGAGAGCAATTTTCCGAAACATAATAGAAATCTCATATTTAAAAAAACGAAATATAAAAAATGATTTTATATCATTTTCCGAACAGATTAACATTAGACGTATTCCGCAGGCATGTTGGGTTATGATATCATAATCACACAAAAGATCATATTTATAATTTAAATACCATATAAATTCTGATATTATATAAATTCTTTATTTGCTTTATATTTTGAAATAAATGGCTTCTTTTCCTTTCTACGTTTAATAAAGTAAACCTTGAAAATAAAAAATTGTAAGCAAAGCTAACTTAGTAATAAAAATAAGTAATTTTCTTATATTGTATCTGTTAAATAATTCTCATAGTAATATGATTAATGTTATTTAAATCCTATACAACACATAAATAACATAAGCATAACAAATATAATAATATATTGCGCATTAAATATAATAAATAAAATTTACAGTTTAAATTTTGAAAAATAATATAATGTAACGTTCTTGTAACGTTTATATTGCATCCATAAATACATTTTTATGTCAATTTATGTGCAATATCTTCGTACCGCAAGAAAATTCAATATATAATCTTTTATGTGATGTCATAATCCAATATGATTGGAAAGAAAAAGAGAGAGAGAGAAAGAGAGAGAGAGAGAGAGAAAGAGAGAAGAAGAAGAAAGAGAAAAAAAGATAAAAGGAAGAGAAGAGAATAAAAGAAGAGAGAGAAAGAGAGGATAAGAGAATCCTTTCGCGAGCAAATGAGCAGAAATACGCTTACAATCACTGAATGTTCCGGAAGTAACAATTCGCTCTATTTTTTTCTCGATTACTAGCTTTTATTTTATAACGCAGAATTAGATTGTGAGAATTAGGATTGACACTAATCGCCATTAGTGCAGTCGATTCAATAGGTGCGCTCGTCCAATTGCTCATCTCCGCGCTTTTATAATACTATGAGCAGCAGTCATTAATACGTCCCTTTAAGTTAGATTGATACTCCTCGTAGGAACAAACTGGTGTAGTGAATTTGTACATACTGAATGCTGCGTAGCAGCCCGTAAGCTTTGTTCAGACGTAATGTCGCCTTTAAAGCGACATGTAACTTCCATTCTCGTGATCCTCGTCTCAAGATCACAGATAAATTCGTGGTGAATCGTCGGCGGGAGGGAAAGGGAATGGAAACAATTTCTTCCTCTAACACGTAAAAGCTGGTTATAAAATGCTAAAATACTAATAATATCCAAATCTTGTCAATCTCATGAGGTATTTTTCTATGCTTATGTTCGTAGAACATCGCTAAGAACGAACGCCTGTTCAGACGTACCTCGAAATCTCTAATCATATGAAATTCATCGTAACAACGATAAACATAAAATTTAACTCTGTAGTTGCAAGATTAGTGCTGACTCGTACTCCGAATTCAGTTTGTGATTTTGAAGCGATGTATTATTGGGAGTCATTCATTGAAAAAAATGTACTGAATTTTGTTATTTGTTTGAATAGTACTATTAAATATTTACTCTAAATGTAAACACATATCTACTCGATACAAAAACCATTTAGTTTAAGTATCATTTTGTTAATTGACTAAATATTTATTTACTATAAATAAATATTTAGTTAGTGCTATTAAAACAAATATTTATTAAAACTTAGTAAATTTTTTCAATATTCTATTTATAAATGGATGTCAGGGTAGTCTGCTTGATAATAATCCTCATAACTGTTGTATAATCGGTTGCCTCGCGTTGAGTGCGACCCTCGATCAAAGGCAGTGTGAGCCAATAGTTAATCTCAATCTTGATGAGGACTTTACATTTCTTCTTCAAAAATAACATACCGCGAAGAATCGTATTTCTCCGTCTAAAACGTGTATTACAAACTACAAATTGGAAATTGAAGATTGCGAATTGGAGCACACTGAAAAAAATTTACTAAATCTTAAATTTACTTCTTCAAAGAAATATGTATTAAGATTTAATAAATTTTTGTTCATTGTAGAATTCAACCAATCAAACGAAATGGATTAACATTAAATTTATCTGATTGATCAAATTATAATCTTCAATTTCAAATCTCTTTAATCTTCAATGCATATGTTATAAACTTATTATAACTTCAAAATATTTGAATTTTCGTTTAGAAAAAAATATCATGAACAAAATTAATTATTTGGACGAAAATTCAATGTTCTGAAATTAGAAAATGCATTGATAAAAAAAAAGATGACTTTTCGCACTGTAATTTTCAAAGGCAAATGTAATTTACATTCGAACGAAGGCCGCGATACAACTCGCGAAGGTAAGACTAATTTAATGTTTTTCGCACTTTCTATAACTATTCTTAATAGTAAATATGTTTCTCCTGGTATTCCATAACGCGATCTTGTTGACGAGACGGTTATCAAGTCTGCTAATGATTTGTGCTGCTCTGATTGACGACGATCTCAAAATCCCTCTCGAATAGCATTTATGCAAAATGAATCATGCAAACGAGAAAAACGTCTAAAATTTTATAAACGTTACACACTTAGTCTTTTTTATTAAGATGCCTTTCTTGTGTGTCAGTCTCTTAGACATTCGCGTATTTTCCAAGTTTCTGAGAGAGAGAAGAACAAAATCCATAACAAAAACTTTATTTCCTATTTTGCTTAAGAAATTAATAATAATTTAGATCATAGCCCCCTCTCTCCTTTAGAGTCCTTCTTTTTAAAAATATTCATAGTAAGTACAGATGTAAATCAGCCAATGCGAGCCAACACAAGTTAGGCGTGTGTAAAATCATATACTTTATTCTTGAGAAAAATATTCTTGACAAACGTTTCAACCCTTTCAATTGGGTCTTCCTCAGTAAAAATAAAAATAAAATCGATGACATATAAATTTAATATAAATGATGCGATGCGAAGCAAAAGTATCGTTAATATATATTCATAAAATAATAATGCTGTGTGTCGTATCTAACAAAATACTCAAATCTAACATTTCAGATTATGTATAATAATGTTAACGATGATGTGTGAGATAAGACATGTTAGCACAAAAACGTTCAAAGAGTATGTTCATAACAAGGGTTATATATTTTTTAAATATTTCTGAAATGCTTAATCGCAATTTTAATATTTTAAAAATATTTTTTTAAGAATAAATTAAGAAACTCCTAGTATATATATATATATATATATATATATATATATATATATAAAAGTAATAATTTAATTTGTCTTTTTATATTTGACTTCAAACAAAAATTTGCATTCCCTTGACAAATTTTTGGATCCGCTATTGGGATTTAGTACATGATTATCCTAATTGCTACTTTGAGATTAAATAAACAGTGTGGCACCTTAATTATGCACACCTTAATTGAAACTGTCATTTATAGGAGCCAATGATCTGTGATGGAGGAAATTAAATAGAGTGTTTGATCAATAGTTATAATAATAAACGAATTATGACAACATAATTAGTATTATCGCTTATAAATATTCTACAAATTATGCATCTATTCAATTTTGAATGGCACATGTCGCAAGCTTTATTCTAATGCCGATTCTTACTAAAAAAAAATTCACGCCTTCTATATAAAATTACAGTTTAACGAAAAAATATAAATATAAGCATTTTACAATAAACGCTGAGAGACGTTTATCAATCGTCAATAGGATTGCCTAAGATTCTAGATTTTACTAGCAATGCCACGTCTTATCTGCGGCTTGAAACTTAAATTAGCTATTAGTTTCTGCTACATTGCGTTCGTATAAAAAAGAAACTTTTCGCTAAATACTTTTATTAAAAATGCAATTTCGCCACTTTGGAACGAATCCCTATTTACTCGCGCTGGCAAGTTGTTCGTCGGTTTATTCATTTCTTTCTGGCAACCCTCATCAGTAGCAACCAAAATCAGCATCAAAATACCCAAGGAACACATAAAAGTCAACAAAAAATCAAAATAACTTTATCTTAATTTTTAACATCAATAAACAGTTATATTTTTTAATCAAAAATCATCATTTTAACCTTCATAACGTCCAAATAAAGTCATTTTAACTTTCTCTTGACTTTATGTGTTTCTTGTGTAATAAACTCGACTAGTTTCACAAGCATGTGGCCTCCATACGCATTTCATAGCTATGCAATTATTGCAATGATAAAAATGCACTATGTTCTTCAATTCTATTACAAAAATTCGACGCAGTCATGCAATATCCGATCGATAGCAGTTTTTTCTCTTTTTTTCGAACTTTTGGATGCACGTTGTACGTTTAACTGTTTCGTTGAAATCGTAGTAAATCTAATATATAATAAAATATAGTACGCTCAGACGAGATTAAGATGAAACGTATATTTCTAGTGAACTCTAGCAATTTCGTCTAGTATATAATATCAGAAATAAATATTAAAAAATTTACAAAATGGCAATGAATAAAAGTCACTGACAGACATTTGGTATATTGCACAACCGTGTCCAACAGTTGTTGTTCAGTTTCTGCTCAGGTGCTTGCGCACTTTTCTCTCCTCCCTGCGAGATCCTCGCGACGATCGATCCGACATCAAATTTTCCTCGATAAAAGTAACGTATCGTTTAGTAACATGTACGCGTATATAAAATTACCGATGTCAATTTTTCCGACTGAGAAAAGAAAGAATTGCAATACAATTCGCTACTAAATTACCATATAGAAACTTGTGTATTTCTTCTGTAGAATTAAATAAATACAATATGTACACATATGCGTGTACCTGCGATCTGATCAGACATACGTATACTATCTATATTTTTTCACCCTTCTTCTCCATTTTCTTTTTTCTTTTTTTTTCTTTTTTTATAACAGCCAAATGTTTTTCTTTTGCGGGGAATATGACATGACTAGAACGCACTTACTTCTTTCTTCCTTTGAATTATTTTAAGGCAAGCTCACATTTTTTTCTCGCACGCGCACTTCTCTTCTTGTCGTTAGTTTTTTTCTTTTCCCTTCGTCGCTTGTCCTTTTCTCCATCGATTTGCTTTCTTCTTTTTACTGGACACTCTCTCTCTCTCTCTCTCTCTCTCTCTCTCTCTCTCTCTCTCTCTCTCGCGCAAGCACTCCCATGTTCTCAGATACCTATACATACATACATATACATACACAGATCCATTTAATACGTCACGCGACATGTTCGTTGTTAATCGTCTCAGAGGATGAACTTATGTGAGTTTCTGGCACAATTAAAGTTCGTTCTTCGCGAAATCGTATCGTCCCGAGACCGTTTCTGTGTCCTGTAATCAAAATCGAGAACCGTTTAAAAAATGTAACGGTTTACAAGGTTGAGAAAAATTTTTTTAATCATATTATGTTACATCAAAAAAAAGTGCAAAGAGAATTAATTCAGATTAAGATATAATTAAAATAATTAAGAATAATTATTAAATACATTGAAAGAAAAGTATTTGATAATTATGATTTTTTTTTTTTCAGTAGAAATAGAAGATATCCCAAGGAGAACAAGAAAATCAAAAATCATGTCAATTTGACGTCATATTGATGAATTTACTATGTCATTTTTTGGTCATGATAAAAATCTCAATCTCAGATCTAAGAATAAGATCAAGATTTTTATCATGACCAAAAAATGATATAAATTAAATATTGCATAAGCACAGAATGTTTTGTATCTTTATTAGAAAGTAACTAATTTTTTTCCATAAACGAAACGTTCCATTTAATCATTTAATTGCTTTTTCATTGCTCCTGTTTTCTATAAAATTTTGCTAATGCTTTGGCAGTATTCACATAGCTCAATCGTAAAAGACGATCGATTAGTCATAAAACAATGAAGAAACGTAATTGCTGATCTCTCTTCTCATAATGAAAATGTAATTAAATTAGATCTTATTTTCACGTTTATGATAACAACTGATATCATTATACCTTCCTAATTTTATATAAGCATATCCTAATATAACTTTATTAATAGGCATTGTGAATTAATAAAATATTGATATAAAAAATATATTATCGTTTATTTTATATACATGTTGAATTATTTTATACGTTGAATAAAATATTTGAGTCATGAAATAGCAATATAAGCATATTTTCAATTTTCAAAATATCTACGAAATGATTTTTTTGAATTGATTTGAATATGTTAATAGTAATATCATAAAAACTGCACATGAAAAGTTATCTATATATGTATCGATAATAATATTCCTCTTTTACATGAATTTATTACACAAATAATGTAACTAAATTAATTATTATTAATTATTATTAATAATAATTTATTAATTCATAATATTAATATTCTGCGGACTTATTATGAAACGTCTCTAGTTAAGATGAAATATAATAAATGATTGCCGTCATAAATAACTTTTCATGTCCAGTTTTTATGACATCACTTGATACATTCAAATCAATTCGTAGATATTTAAAATTCTGAAAAAATTCTAAAAAAGTTCTTAGAGTTCTATGAGAAAAAAATAAACAATTTTCGTCTCTTGCAGTTTTTCTGTAAAGTTGATACTTGAGTAAAAAATTATTGAAGACCAATTTTCGGCAATATTTAGCAATTAATATCTTGTTAACTATTGCAAATATGCAAAATGATAGAGGACTTTTCTTCTCAGTTTAGTTCATTCTATCCCCATGCAAAAGATTTATCATTATTTTCCAAACACCCTGTATACAATATAATATAATAACGTAGTTTCTATTTTTTAATTTTTAAAAATGACATAATAAAACATTCTGCAACGGTAACTAATTATAAGTAGTACAGCGAAAAATCTATTACTATTGAAAGCTTCGTTAAAAATGTTGTATTATATAGTACAATATTATATAGTTCATTGTATTATATAGTTCATTGTACCTTTTAAAATCATTTTGAGCTTCTTTTTATAATACTGAAAATCTCATTAATTTTCCTAGATAACAAAAAGTGTCTGAAATCGTTATAAGACGTTTTTTGCGTCTAAAAGACGACTTAAAGACGTCACAATTTTAGACTTTGTGTCATTTAGGTTGATCTTCGATCTAATTACGGTCTGATTTGATTTATATTTTGCCTCAGTGGAACTAAAGTCTTTGAGTACTTATCTATTACCAAAAGCGGAAAAAATTAAGCCGTTTCTAAGAAATCTTATGCTGATTCTACAATGAGTCTGTAGTTGGAAGTCTTAGTCTCAATCAACATCAGTTGTACAAGTTGGCTATTAGTCAACTTCACTGATAAGACTTAGGACTACCAACTGCTGACTCATTGTAGAATCAGCATTACAGACGGATGGAAGGATCGGATCAACACTATGAAATTATAAATTATTTGCACTGCACTACTTAATAATTTTGATACATATTAAGTACATGATAAATAATTAAAAAACTACAATTGAAAGAATTAGAGATTTCTTTTCGTATTCACCGGTTAATAGTTTCGTTGAGCACGTGTCTTGGCGGACGCCAGAGCTAAGATATACGCAGTGGATAGGCCGACATGGCGTTGCATTGGCCTTGGTTTAGAAACCCTGGATCACGCCGTAGGCCTCAAGGGTGGACATGATGAGATAGAGCAGCCAAAGGGAGAACAGGAACACGGACGTGATGAGTTTCGGTATAAAAGGTCCGCCCAATTCCCCGCCGATCGACTTGACTCGTCTCACCAACAGCACCACGATCACGAAGCAAGCCTCGCTACAGAACAAGGTGACGGAGAAGGCCAAACTGTGTCATAAAAAAAAGTCATTCAGATATAATTATGCAATGTAGGAAGCAAAGTTGCATCTGCGATTTTTGTATAAAGACGCGAGCAAGCAACCTATGAAATTAGCTCTCGGGAGCTGACGATGCTTCTGTTGGATCCACTTAATTACATTTTTCATATTACACTGTAATATGAAAAATGTAATTAAGTGGATCCAACAGAAGCATCGTCAGCTATATATATATAATCTCGAAATTAATTTATTATTAAAGTAAATAAATTTATTTATCATCAAAATATTATTTTAATAATAAATTATTATTAAAATAAACTTAATATACGCATACACATTCTTTATTATATATTATGTCATTTTGGTTCCTTGAAATTAAAAAAGTATATAATTCCATTCATTCAAAATAAATTAAATGGATTTTGGCGTCAACTGTATTGATTTTGACCTCAGCTTTGCAAGGTAAACATTGAATTCTTTTTCATCAAGAAATTATTCAAATTTTTGTCTTTCATATTTTTAAAACAATATTATTTGAAGGCAGAGATTTTTGAAAATTGAAGTTCTCAATGTTTCAATTGGTCATTATAAAAAAAATTTTCGAAATATCTTTCGAAATGATGTACTTACATTTATCAAATTTATATAAAAATTTATCAATTTTCAAAAACTTAGCAAGAAAAAAGATCAAAAGATATTTTCTGTCCTTACTTTCAAGAATTCAACATTTAAGCTTTTGAAACTGTCTTCATGAAAATGGAGTGAACTTTTCTGGTGCAACCACAGATTCATCTCCAATTCCAATTTGGTCAAAACTATCATTGAAAGTCAATCAACGGCTGAGCACTTGCAAATTTGATCGCAGCCATTATGGTACAACCTGTGTCCATAGCAATAGATTACATCTTAAAACACACCTGTGTGTACATTCGTGCACAATCTAAACAATCTGTTATTCTTAATAAATTGTCATGATATTTTAACTTCAAGCAGAAACATTGCCTCATCTAATCTTATTCTAAGACAAAGAGAATGCATTTTCTAAAATATAAAAAAACGAGAGAACGTTACATTTTCTTGAAAACTAGAGTTTATTGTAAAGTAAAATATCAGTTATTAAGGAAAACATAATAATCTTATACTAAAAGTCAGTTTTAAACTGAAAGAAAAAAATCTATAATTCATTGTTTCACCTTGATTGTAATAAATAAAATTTTCAGGTAATAAAAACAAGTATTTTTGTGTTTTGTAATAAAAGTAAAATTATGTTCCTAACAAAAGATGTGTTCTATTTAAAAATTAATTATTTCGCAACAAATCGCATTATTTAACGAAATTGTTTAGACGCAATATGTAATCGATTGGAGATGTTACTTGTATATTCATGTATTTGGTTTTCGTAAAAGAGACTATTTTTCAGCAAGATACATGAACGACAGTGTGAAACACGGAGTGTATTTCAACTGTGAAATACTGCTCAATACTATAAAAATCCAAGTACAAGCATGTAAAATGTTTCAGTGTTTTCCAATATTCAGAGAATTTTATATATAACGTGTACTAACTTTTTTAGTGCTATTTTTAATAGAGAAGTCTGTAATAATTAAATTATACAATTATATTGTATGGCTTTACTAGATTATAATGACATAATAAAAATAATAACAATAAGTAGTATATATTATTAATATTATGTAAGTGATTACAATAAAAAGAGAGAATTAAAATGCACTCTCAGAGTAATTGTAAGTTTATAATGTTCTCTCAGAAACTAAGTCTACACTCTCAAATCGTTCCAACAAGTATCGTACGCGATGCAACACAAAGTGTATTGTAGCGTGTTCTTGCTAGGAAACACCCAGCATCATCCGATACGAGACCAAATACAATGCTCCATTTCGCGGTTGGCAATCCATCGAAATCCTCGTGAAATAGAATGCAGTGTAGCGTAGTAAAGTAAAAAATTATATCATAAAGGTTCTTTAACAGTTTCCTAGTATTCTAACAGCGTTATTATCCAGCGTTATTATCCGACAAATACAATGTACAAAATGTTTGAAAAAAATAAAGAAATAGTCATTCTCTTCGTACTAATAGTATTATACGAACTCCGAGTTCTGATATTCACTTCAATATTACGTCAAGTGTCTATTGATGTAGATAAATGGCCAATTTCTCGGGTACTTTCTTCGAAATTTCACAATTTCATAGCGCAGAACAATGGCAGTCGTGTTAAATGTCATCGTCGCGAGAGCAATGTTGGCAAAGTTGCTGTCATTGTGCTTCAACCAAATATCTTAGAAATAGTTTCACGAAAGTGATCGTAAATGGAGAATGGTGTTTTGTTATCGAGGTCACGTTTTACTTAATCTAACTCGTGTTATCATGGCATATCCGGCGCTCAAAACGCGCTCTCGTGAATTATCAAAAAATCAATTTTGCTAACTGATATAAATACGTGCGCGTACACACATTCGTAAATATATATTTTTATTACGAGGTAACAGAAATTACTATTCAGAGAAATAAATATTCAGTGGTACCTCCAGAAATACTGACGTAAATTTACCAGCGTACAAAATAAATCATGAGGTATATTTAATAAAAAACATTGGACATATAAAAAATATTATATAAGTAATAATAATATAATATAAATAACACAATAATAATATAATAATGATATAATATAAATAATAAATAATGTAATATATAATATATGTACAAAATGAAAAAATAATTGTTTATTATCTACTGTATTAGAAGTTGTTTTGAGAAAAATATGTTTTAAATGTTAATTATCACATTTTTGAAAATTATCATTTGAATTCGTGCAAAGTAGACTGTTTACTTAAATTACGCATTTTTGTGCACACAAAAATGGATGTCTGTAATTCCTTTTTACTACTTACTTGCCAGGTTCGACAAGGAACGGTTCGCTGTGGCAAGCACGGTAAATGGCGGCGATACTCCACGCGACGCCGATTCCCAGGAAGACGTTTACCGCGTTACTTCCAGTCACATTGCCCACACTCGCGTCGGCATACTTGTCCTGGCAGGCGGCCACTTTGCTCGCGAACGTGTCTGAAATAATTCGGAGTCTGGGTTACTTTGACAAGTGGACGGAGCTGTTAATGCACGAATAACAATGACATGATTTATTACATCATTGTTACGTTTGAACGTTATAATTATCATAATATGCCAGACAACAGACATGTCTAAAAGACATCATAAATACTTTTCGACATATGTGTCTTAAAGATATTTAAAAGACATTATAAAGACTTCTTTTAGAAAACAAGGTACATCTTGTTGAATATTTAACACATCTAATATATTATATTGTTATTTGAAATATTTTGAAGATTTCTATTGAAGGTAAATTTATTTTATCATACGTTATAATTTTTTACAATTAATTCATGCTTACTTTTATAAAACGATTAATAAATTATTTTCTAATTATTTCTAGTAGTGCAATTGAAAAGAAAGTGATTTTTCGTGAAAAAATAAATGTGAAATTTTATATTATTCGCATATCCTTTCATTGACTTTAAAGTAATAAAGTCTTTAATCTCTGTACTACTTGTTTGCGAATGACATCGTTATTAAATTTGTTGAGAGATTTGCGCACGAATTACCTCATTGATTCCCAATATTCTTATTCTTATTATTCTTGAACACTGGAAGTCTATATATATTCTATTTATATATTTTGAAAAATAAATAATACACTGCAAATTTTATATCACGTATTTCTCTCCTCTTTTATGAAAAAGTTTGAATATCTTTTCTTAGGCTCGGTATATATAGAAATATGTATCAGTGATAAATATTTTACGTAGGAGGTAAAAAAAAAATTAAAAACATGTCATCGCATTTTATAATGTTTCCTAGATGTAAAAATAAATAAGTAAATAAATTTTTAACGATCAAAGTGTTGCGTTCGTTATTCAATTCGTTCTTAAAAATACACTTCTTTACCGAGTTCAAGGTTAACGAGCCCAAGGTTGTAATTTAACCGATATTGCTTTTTATTTATCCGCATTTATTTAACGCTTCATTCGTGGCGTAATGCGAGATAAAACCCGTATTTCACGCCACGGTACCACGTGTATGACCCGCGCAAGTAACAAAGTGGCTTTTTAGTACACATTCTGTCTCAGGAGAATCAAAGATCGTCAACCGCACTTAAAACCGTTGTGCCGCAGGATTTGTGGTAACGGCTTGGAATATGCGGCTTGTACCAGTTTGCAGTTTATAGCAGTGTAAGTTCGGTTACGGAGTTGTGAGCAGAATAAGCGCTCGTTGTTGCACAAGGCAAGAAAATTCTGTAATAACAGAGCACATATGTGAAACCTATATGTATCTATATGTTCAATAACAACAACTTGATAAAACGTGCGCTCCAAATTCGCGTGCGGTAAATATGACGATTTCCAAAATTATATAATATATATCGGCACAGATGTGGACGAAAATTTAATCTAAAAAATTTGTTCAAAACAGTTGTTTTTATTTTCTAATATTTTTATACAATATTAAACTAACGATAAGGATATTTTAGAGGGATTCTTATTTACGTTGAAAAGAAAGATTTATTAACTCTTAACAATTTCTTTGAATAGTACTAAATATTTACTCAATAAAAAAATTATAATTAAATCAAATTTTCTGTTTAGTTTGCGCTACTGCTATACTACTGTATTTGCTATTGTATGTATCAACAATACAATAATTAATTAGTCGAATTAGCAAGGAGGATTGTTTACGCTGGGCTTATGTCGTCAATGTATACCTTCGATATTACACTCCTGCAGTAGTAATGCTCAGCAATTCATCCACCGTGAATAATAGTCAACCTTGTCTTGTATTAGCGTAAGATGGCAAATTAATTATCTCAATGTTTGTTTTGACAATTAATTTGTATTAAGTAATTACTATTAATTATTAATCAATAATTATAAACTTAACAAAGGTCAATTAACAATTAAAACAAATGGAATTCGCATATTCGTGCAATTGGATAATTAATTACCCAATAGATTTCATATTCGATAGCATTAGAAAGAGATCTAAAGTATTCTTCAGTATAAAATAAAAATCAAATTGTACAGACTCAAAATCTTAAAAATAAAAACTCAAATAAATAATCTACAATAATAATATACAGAGCCTTTAAGAGTCATAGCTGATGACAATGCCAACGATTAAATTCTATATCATTAATCGATTGCGTATAATCTTCTTTTTGAACGTTTCGGCTCTCTTTGGAGTCCTTTTCAGCAATACATATTTCAAATCCTAATTCATTGAACTTTCCGTCAAATGTGAGTCACTAACAGGTTTCCAACTGAAGTGAATTCTTAAACGAGAAGTTCAATATGTTCATGAAGTTTTGGAAGTTTATATTAACTAAATTATTGAAACAATTATCTCAGTTTTATACATTTTAACAATTTATAAACCTTCCTCTCCGGATAGTTAAAAGCGTTGGTCTCCTATGAAGAGGAAGGTTTATAAATCGTTAATATGTATAAAATTGAGATAATTGTTTCAATAATTTAGTTAATATAAACTTCCAAAGCTTCATGGATATATTGAACTTCTCGTTTAAGGATCCATTTCAGTTGGGAACCTGTTAGTGGCTCACACTTTGATGGAAAGTTCAATGAATTAGAATTTAAAATATGCATTGCTGAAAAGGACTCCAAAGAGAGCCAAAGTAAGAAGATTACACACAATTAATTAATGATATAGAATTTAATCATTGGCACCATCATCAGCCTATGACTCTTAGAAGCTCTGTATAGATTGTTTATAAAGTAAAAATAGATTTTTAAATATTTAAATATTTTTTTCTTTAAAAATTTATAAGATTCTATATAGATATGCGATTTACTTCGCTATTTGCTACGTGCGATTTAACGCAACACAATTCTTGATATCATGTTATAGGCAATTCTGAGGCACTCTGTGCTCTAAATAAATCTCATCTTTCGATTTTTTTGCCGGTAATACGAGAAGAAGATCGTCAAACCGATCTCGATGAGCGGTACTTTGGGAGATCGGAGGTATCCTTCGGCATAAATATTGATGAGGTTCTGGGAGAAGAAAGTTTCTTGTAAAGTTTCTTAGAGAGAAGAAGCACACAGTGGCCTAAGTAAGTAATCCAGCCTAGAAGCTATGCATCATGCAAATCGCGTCGATATTCAGCCGATATAGGGATTTGGTAGAGATTATTTTTGGAATAAACATAATTTCAGAATATTCTCTGATATAATTTAAAAAGAGAAAGAGATATCTTTACTGTGAAAGTTAAATTAATAATTAAAATTACTACAGATAGAAGGTAAGATTACTACACGTAGTTCCCTGTGGACATTAAAATGCAGTAGCTGTACGTTCACTGAACATTAAGATGTTAGAGACACATTTAGGATAATCAATTTCGAGCCTCTGTTTTAGATGTAAATTTTGAACGTAACCTATTGACCCAGAAACTTGAAATGACGCGACTGTCGTTACGCTTTTAATAGCTTTTGATAACACTCAAATGATTTATTAAATGCCCTTGTCGTGAATTTTGTATAAAAATAGAAGACAAAGGTCAAGTCATAATGTTTCTGAAGATTTGTTAATGTAAATGATTCCTGTAAATATAACTATACACATTTTTTATAAAGTTATCTCTCTCTCTCTCTCTCTCTTTCTCTCTCTCGTCTCTACATGAATTTATAAACTCTTTCGTCATCTGCGACAAATTCATTCTAACTAATAGATATTCACACAAACTGATGCTTCATTTTTTTTTTTAACCAATCATTACTTCTTTCTGTCAAGTAATATGCGATTATTCTCACTGCTCTTCTTATTTCACATAATTATCAGACTTTGTTCTTCCCCCCTTTTCGTTTTGCTCACATATCGCATATTATATAATATGATGTGTAATGTGTGAATAAGACAACATAATTACTTTGTAACTACACTTATGTCACTCGCCGTAATTATTATCTTCAAAATTTTATTATAACATATCTTAATTCATCATTTTTATCGTTATAACTTATTATTACATACAACATCACTTACTGTCTTGCCTCCGCTTATTTTAATTTTCATACTGCTAATACACGCATACTTTATTATTATTATTTTGTATTCTTGTTTTCTTACGCTTATGTCAATCCTCTGCTGCTTACAACTGTACACATAATTGTTCTTTACTGTACTTTTTTTGTTCTTTCTTTTAGAGAGTTTGCCCTAGAGTAGCAATAAACGCTTTTATTTCTCTCTCTCTCTCTCTCTCTCTCTCTCTCTCTCCCTCTTTTTGTTTTATTTACTTTAAATTTAAAAAATATAAAATATTTTGGAATCTGTAAAGTGTTTGAACAAATCCAATGTAGAAAATTCTGATTAGAATGCAACAATGAGAGTAATCTTGTAAATTGCAATGCCACGTTGAATGCGAAAAAATTTTGTAGAAATAAATAAATAAAAAATTCCAAACACGATTACAGCAATATTGGAGGCTTGTAAAATAAGAAATAAAGTTTAGTAATGTTATTTTCATCCGCGTATGTCGACTTTAATTCTCTGCATTTCTGGAAGAAAGGCAGAGAAGATTGCTATATTTTTTGGCCTCTTGAATGTACGTAATCCCTTAACATAAATATATTTTACCGCAACATTGCCATAGTGTAAGTCTTCTAAAGGCGAACCCTTTAATTTTGCTACAATTTTACGACGCAGTAATATTTTTTGCACGACATATACAATATTGCAATTTTACAATGGAATTTTATAGCAGTGCTGCAATCTTCTGGTGCTACATGGACGAAGAAAGTATTTAACTCTTTTATGGTTGCACGTGTTAACCGTTCCACCTGAAAGAACATAGGCTGTCGGCAGCCATTATTCCCAGGCACAAAGACAATAAATTATCATTGCTCTCCTCACTTAATCTCAAAAGCCTGTTGTAATACAGCAGACGTCATAAGTGGAATGCGATCAATGCGAAATGCGAAATGCGAAGGTAAACTAATGTGGGAGATATGTTGATTACTTTTTTAATAATATATTGAAAAAAATGTTCTGATTGTATTTAGCAACAAGAAAGTACAAACAAAACAAATTCTGATCATATAAATCATCGTAATTAATCTTCTCGACTAGCATATTTAATATATTTAATAATAAGTGTTTAATTTATACACTAAAAAAAATATTAAATTCACAAAAATATTTGTTTAAAATTTTAAATAAATATTTACTAAATGTAAACATATTTATTTGATACAAGATTAATTTGTGTGACTTACTATCATTTTTTAATTAGGGTAAATATTTATTTATTAAATGTTCAATTAGTTCTACTATTCGAAGAAATATGCATTAAGATTTAATAAATTCTTTTTCAGTATACCTTTCTGATTGAATCTGTCAGAATTCCAATTAGTGCAACAAGACTTTTTCCAGTGTAGATACGATCTTTCTCGATGTCGCTCCTTTTCCTCGTATATCATCCTCAGTTTTTAGATACTTACCGGGAATGCTGGTACCGAGGGCGACGAAAACAATCGCGGTGACAGAATCCTTGATGCCCAAAGTACAACCGAAATACGAAGCAATGTCGCCGATTATCGCCGTGACCACGCCAATCCCCAGAATGCTGACGATAAAGCACAAATAACCGCCGGCGATATCTGAAATAAAAAAAATGTTTCCCATACGTTTTGCGAAAGCAAAATACAGAGAGTTTCAGAATTCGATTGTTAAATAATAGAAATATTGTTTGCGCGCATATTTCTTGTATATAAAATAGAAGAAATAGAAAAATATACACAGGGTGATAAAAAAAAGTTTGGCCACAAAGTTTTGTGTTCATCAAACATTAGTAACATATGTTTATAAGAAACAACTTTTTCTCTTTTTTTCTTTGAAGTGTTCATTATTAAATACCAAAAAATAATAATTAACATTCCAAATGTCATCTTTAACTTTGATATAAACTTTAAAACGCTACGAGAATGCATTCACGATTGTCACGCATTTGGATAAATTCTTTTAGATAGAGATACGTCTTCAGTTCATCAGCCGAAAATTTTTTTAGCAGAATTTTTTTGACATTTAAGATATAACTAACACACTTCAGAATAAGTTTTTTCTTTTATATATTATATAGTATAATACTATTCAGATAGCAAGTTGATGTTATTTGTCGTTATTTTTATATCCAAATGACGAAAAATAACATCAACTTATTATCTGGGAAATGATTTGATAAACATACAAATATGAAAAATTTTTTGTCGCCTTGTATGTAAAATCCATATTGGACAAAAGATTATAAAAAATTAATTAAACAGAAAAATTAATGTTAAAATCGCTGTCCTTTGGTTTAATAATGGAAGTGAAACCGACGATATTTTTGAGGTTTAATAGAAAAAACATTGGATAACAGTGCCAAAAAACTTTAATCACTTTGCGCGATATGCGAGATGAACAAAATGCAAATTATAAAGTGACATTCTCTTCGCCGCTCACGCAAACATGCACTACCACGTAACCACTCGTTTGAGAGCTTAATTAGTCTAGTTAAAAGTCCACAATTTTTCCTCATTTACGCTTACTCTCGGGACTAATTATGCTGCATCAGCTCAATTCTGCTTGGCTTTTACAAATCACGAAGCTCGTAACGTTAAAAGCGCTATTTTACCGTAATTGACTATTTCCGATAAATAAAATCACTTATAGAAATTAGTTTAAAACTGTGATAAATGGACAAAAATTTCTATTAAAACTTTGTATGATAATTTTTAAAATATATAATTTTTATATAATTGTTATTCAGAAATTTATTGTATACATTATTTTAGTGCAATTAATATTATATTAAAATATAAGAAGAATTTATAAAAATCATATAAATCTTTTTTTCAATATACATATCATATACATAAATTTTGTACATGTTTTCATACTTGTATATAGTTTTACAAAAGCTGTTTAATCATAAGCAGTCTAAAAGTACAACTTTTACATAACTGTTCCTAACAATTCCCTCAGGGATTATCTTTTTTTTTTATTTTTTTTTATTTTTTATTTTTTACTTTTTAAGCGAGTGCATTGCGTTCAACATATGTCAGATCGTAGGACGTCTAAAAAGGAAATAAAAATGCATAATCAATTTAACTCTATACAGATTTATTTCGCAAAAATTAAAATAATTGTAATTTTACTAAAAACTATTGTCTTTATATAAATGAATCTGTTTCTTCTTGCTTGAAATTTTGTAAATATATTCTCTCTAAAACTTCCCAATTGTAAAGTATATTAATAATGAAACCAACAAAACGTCTTTACGAGTCTTGTATTATAATTCTTGTGTAATAAGTTTAATATATTGTAGGATTATATTACCGTATATGTGTTGTGTGTGTGTGAGATAACACAAATTATAGAAATCAAAGCCTTAAACGGTCTAGGTGGATGTTAATGCTTGTATGATTTTTGTGTGAATTTATATATTGCGTATGTAGTACCTAGAAACGGTCGCCGAAATAATTTTTCGGTCTTGAAACGCTAACTCTACTAAACTATTTTTTCATAATAACTTCTTTACCCCCCCTCGTACAGTTTCCTTTTTAAATTACATTTAAACTACTTTTAGTTTCTTTTTACGTTTTTTATTTTCATTTTCGTTACATTCGATTATATTTTTTCTCTCTTTCCATTTCCTTCTTGTTACATTTCACTCCACGCGTTAATACTAATATTGAAAGGTTTTTTTTCTCATATACACACACTGTATGTGGATTTTCTCGATTCCGTACATACAATTATTATGAAAATTGAAAAGAGCTTTCCTTTATCACAATATATTTGAAAAGCATCTTCTCACATTTGTGCGTATATAAGTATCATCATTTTAGAATTATAATCACGTCTCAAAATCATATGACAAAAATCCTTGAAGCAGCACATAACGGATTATCAGTCGTATTAACATTCTCCAAATGGTCCAAGATATTCGCAATTGATATGAAACTCGCGGAACGCTTTCTATGGAATTATTATCAAGACGGTTGAAATTCTTGGAGAACCACAAGGCTGACGCGGTTCATGTCACAAGTAAAATGCTCTCTCTCTCTCTCTCTCTCTCTCTCTCTCTCTCTCTTTGCACGAACACATGTATATGACAACAAAAGGAAATTATTATTAGAAATCTGTATACGAAGATATGTTTACGATGAAACGTGGGCGTTAATACAGCTAAAGAGTCTGTAAACACGCGGTTAGTTTTACTATTAACACGTGGCCAGTGTATATTATTGCAATACGCTTGATATACTACTCTTGTACTACTAAACTCGACTGATTTATTAAAGTATTTCGTGATCTTTTCCAAGCAACTCGCTCTTATCGATTACATTATGTAATTATCGGAAACTCGAGTAAGCTCGGAAATTCTCTCGAGATCGAAGAAAAACTCAGCTGACAATATTAAATAAAAAGTCTGAAAGTATAAAAATAAAGTGCATTGTAATTCTTGTATACAATATAATACACTTATTTCTAATTAAACTATAAAGAAAAATTTTATTTAAAAAATTTTATTTATTAATTTTTTATATTTTCTTTTTAGGAATTTTTCTAATATAATATAAAATATATTGTATAGACAGTACGAAACAATTTTTTAAAAAAGACATTCTTATTTCACTCGAATTCGTTGCAAAAGATGTATAAATTCTTAATTTTTATTAAAGAAAATTTTATTTAATATCTCATTACTTTGTATTATTGCCATAAATTCCGAACAAAATTTACTTTGGAAGAGTATAGAAGCACAGGTCACCATAAATCATGCAGAAATTTCGTGAAAATTTCATGAGAGAGCAGAGAAGAATGTATAAGCGTTCTTTATCTATTTGTTTGTATATGTGCATGTATTTGCCTGTGTAATACACGTACATGTCTATGGGAGATTTTCGAACATTTAAAAAAAAAACCATTAAACTAAGATATTATGCATATCTCTGCATTTATGTATACATAACTTGCAAATTAAGTTCTTGGGAATTTAACTATCATCTTCAGATTTTGCCGGCTTTTCCGGCAACATGTCTCACTGCGGAATATTGCATTTAGTAATGCGATGTGTTCATAAATCTCGCTCATACTGTTGCAACCACATATTACAGTTGCATAATCTACAGTTACATAACTATAAATTTCGGTTTATCTGGAAAGTATTGCAATCGTAATAGCATAATGTTTTATATACCTGGAACATTTATTTATATTATAATTTAGGATTTGTTTTTGATATCAAAGAAATTCCTCGATCGCTCCGATAATTTCTGGTTCTGTCCAGAAATTAAGCTTTTTTTTCCTTATAAAAGGTGAAGCGAGAGGAAGAGTAAATACAATTCTGCATCTTGTGCTTCTGCATAGAAGCGATGATCTACAAGGACGACGGGTAAAAAAGAAGAGAAAGATAAACAAGGTGAAATTACGTTGCTCGATACAGTAGTTTCCAGAGCTTTTGCAGGTGCTTGCTGAAATAAAGCACGTCTTCTCCTCGCCCTTTATCCTCCTCTTACCGTCTTTCCTCGTTTTCTTCCACCTGGATGGAAGTAGAGCCATGACTAAAGAATGCAGAAAAGCTCTCCCACATCTCAAAAAATACAGGAATAGGTTAAAATAGAATCGAAGAAATAACAAAAATAAAAAAACGAAGACAATCCGTGAAAAAATTAAGACATAAAATTACACAAACAAAAAAAAATCTATTTTCTTCAAACTTTTTACAAAGTCCTGTAATCAAAGTGTTTGGTTACAGGAAGCTGAGTTTCTTCAGGTGCTTTGATAATAGATATCTTTAGTTGCAAAGATAATAAATATCTATATCTTCGTGTTCTTCATACTGTTAAGATGGATTATTGAATAACTTTCAATAGTTTAAAATTTTCAGCTATTTTTTGTAAAACATCGCATTATATAAATCAATTTTCAATTAATCTTCTCGTACGCGCATGAATATTAAAAAATATTATTCCGTGAGAGAGAGTTTAGATGTATCATTTTCCGTTTTGCAGATTGTACCATAAACACATTTCGATCGAAATTCGTTTTACCTTTTATCACGTTAGCTGACGGCAATTTCGTATCTATAAACATTTTCATACAAGATTGAAATCACCGTATTAATATTCACGACAATGTATATATTATTTTAAAGGTATTGAAAACATCTTTTTGCATGTTAACGAAACTAAATGAATTTGTAAAATCGTTTAACAAATATTTTTACCGCAATTTTACCATAGATAAGAATTATCGATAAGAGGTTTTTTATATACATAAATAATATAATCAATTTCTGAGAAAAATATGTATTTAACACATAATACACAAATAATAAATAAATTATTGTAGGTTTTATTTCATATATCGAAATTAGTCAAAATAAAACGTCTTGTAAACTACCGATTACTTACCATAATATTTTTTTATATAGAATGTTTATGCAAACAGTCAAAGCATTAAAATAATATTATTATATGATATAAAAATATTATATAATTATTTTACAAAATTTCGTCAACATTGACATCTCGTATAAAACGCGTTTTATAAAAGTAAAATTTGAACCAAACAGATCACAAATTATAATTCAATCAATAAAAGAAGTCTACCATATGATGTAAGAAGGAGTTTGTAACATCTACCGTTATGTTATATGTGTCCATGCGCTAAGAATTTTCATTTTCATTCCATCACAGCTGAAGAGGATTAAGTAAAGTCCGAAACGTCCCGTAATGTAATTTAATAAATTCAATTTTATCCACCTAATATTGCTTGTTTTTTTAAATTATTGACCTTGAATAGATTAATGAAATCACTTTAATATTGCTATGAAATTTGAAATTTTGAAACACTTTTATCCAAAATAAAAAAAAACAATAATAAAAAATATTCCAAATTTAACGAAACGAAAAAAATTAAGGTGTACATTGAAGTGGTTCATTCTATGTATACACAAATAGACAATATTAATATAAAAAAATTTGTTTACTTACCTGTGGGTGGAACGAAGGCAAAAAGAACCTTCCAGAAGATAGTAAGGAAGTGCATAAGATAATCCATTACGGATGGTGAGGAAGGTTGATCGTTTTCACCCTCAACGTCATCTTCATCGCCTCTACTGACGGTCAACGCTTCCATGAATTGTTCTTTCCAAGAACTTGTGCCTAAAAATAAAATTTTAGAATTTATACATTTTAGAAGAAAAAATAAAAAACAAAAAAGACATCATATATCTCGAATATTCTGCAATAAATAAATTAATTTTATAAACCGTAAAAGTTTTTAATTTTTATTAACAATTTTTTAAATTGATTTATAATAATTCTTGATTAATTCTTCAAATAGTTAATGCTGTCGCAGAAATTATTTAGTAACGTTATGACAGTTCTATTATGCATAAACAAACAAAGGATTCAGCTTGGTTCTTCAATAAAGCCTCAACACTGAATGCAGTAAAAAAATACTATAAAATCTCATTTTTGTTCACATTCATCTAAATCTATATGTAATGGTGACGAGCAAGCGAATGAAGCGCTTTATCGAAGGTAAAAGTCGAAAAATGCTTTGAGCGATTCCTTCACAGGCCGAGTGAAAGCAGAACATGCAGAAAGGAAAACGGGACAAAGAAAAGCACTATAATAGAGCAACGTGATATTCCTTTCTCACTGTAATCGATTCCATTTTTACACGAGTATGTATATACACACAAATACATTGAGAAAGAGAGAGAGAGAGAGAGAGAGAGAAAATAGAAGAAAGACACGAAAAAAAAAACAGATTGAACTGTTCATGAAAAACTAGTTTACTGAATAAATTCAACATTTATAATTAAGAAGATATGATGGTTCAACAAAGAAATTATGTCTGTAGTAAACAATTATGAAAATGCTAATTTAGCTTATTCTTTGCTACAATAAGAATTGCTGATGTAACAAGTTTTCTTCATTACATCAGCAAAAGTCGCTACCTTAGAGTGCGATCCACTTCACGCTGCAAATGCTTTGAAGCATTCTTTGATTGGTCAATTCGTAAAATTTTTTCTTCTGATTGGTTAACCAAGTATTTGCAACATTAAATGGATTATACCGTTAGTCAGTTTTGTTCAAAATTTTAATCTATATATTGATTTTCATAAAAAATTATCTTTGCTATATTAACAAATGTTTGCTTAATGGCGGATATAAGGGAGGACGGGAAGCCAATCTCCCCAGAGTTCTCCAAACAGAAAGTTAGAATTTATTATATAACAAAATTTGTTTTTAAATTAAATTTCATGTCATGTTAACATGTATGAAAAATATATCTGGCTAATAAAATGCTAAATGCCAACATGTATAATTTATATTTCATGATTACGATAAAAGTAATTAATAATAATAATAATAAATATAATAAAACAATAAAGTAATAGAAATAATAAAAAATATTAAAAATCATCAACAATGAAAATAACATCAATAATAAGTATCCCCCCCCCCCCCTCAGAATAATTCTCTGGATCCATCTTTGTTTTTGTACTATAACAACAAATACGATTACCTATAAGCGCTAATTTTATTCAAATATATAATTTTATTGCTTTAACAAAATAAACTGGCTGTCCATATGCGGCTGTAGATTTGTCGAATCGGTGAAGTTTTTAATTGTTTCAACAAATCTTTTTTTTCCGTAGAGAGAAAATTAAATTGTTTTCATTTCGTTCAATTTTTAAATAAATATTTACCAAATAAGGTACGTTGATAAATATGTTTTGTATCTTTCTTTTATTATATATTTATAATATTTGCAATATTTCTTATGCACACTAAATAATATTTTGTCCATTAAATATTTTACGTACTGTACACTTCGCCATTAATAGCAATTATTTATTAAATGTCAAAAAAGATTACCACACAATAAAGTTTCCTTGCTGTTTGTAAATTCGATTTCTTGACCAAAGCTCTCACCGAAGCTTTTCAGAGATGCTTTGAGGAACATAGAGTACGTGGAATAACTTCCTGCCGTGAAGAAAAGAAAAGCCTCCTGGGGAGCGAAAGGAAGAAAAGAACCAAAATGACAATAGGAAACAGTTCGCTACTGATATTTTCGTGTTTTTTATTGTTTTCTGTGCTTGAAGTTAATAGCGAAAGGAAATTCGACACGGTCATTTTCAAAACTCCCATTGGAAGTTTACGGTTATTCGTAATAGGAGGTGATAATAGCGCCATTCCGGAATTTTATTATTTTGTATCAATTTGTTCACATGTGTTTTTATATTGTTAATTTGCTATGACGACACCATTTAAAAAATCTAGAATTTAAATGTTTTGAATCATTTAAATTTTATTATTAATTTTGGTATAATAAAGTAAACGATTGTGGAAATAAAAGTATGTTCCTTTTAATTAGATTCATTTTTTTAAATTTTTGTTTTTTTATGTAAGCAACTAAAATAAAAATTTTTAGTTACATCGTTGTAGCAAATAAGCGACAAATATAAAATTTATGTAAATCATAAAGGTCTTATTTCGAGTTTTTATTTATTTTAAGTTTTTATTTATTTCAATAAGTTTTTATTTTAATCGACAAGTTTTTATTTAAGTTTCATTAAAATTTTTATTTTTCTCTATAAAATAAAACATTATAATGTTCAGCACAGAATTTGCAGCAATATCGCTGCAAAATCTCTATAATATCGCTGCAGCAATGTTGCAGCAGTGTTGTTGTAATTTTTGTGTTGTAGGGGTTATAATATTGTACATGTGTCATATAAAAATAATACTTACATCGAAAGTATTTTTAATTACATATTAAATGTCAAGTTTATTGCAATTCAAATTTTCATTTGCAATTCATGCATTTAACTTAGTGCATGTTAGAAAGGCTGCTGAAGATGTAAAAAAGAATAAGTAAGAGGTAAGTAAAAGGTATGTTTCTGAGACGGTTGCATAGCCAAAGCAGCAAAAATTTAAGATGAATGTAGGAAATGCAGAAACGTGAGAATCATGCATATAGAGCCGAGGGAGTCTTGAATTTCACGAGCCTCTACATAATGCTGCATTCCTCAGAGTTGCATTTTTAAAGAGCCTCAATCTAGATGCTCGCGCGCGTCCCGTGATACGCATTTCTCCATTGGGAAAGATTAAGTCAAGCAAGTTCGAGTTAGACGCGCAGACTGTTCAATAATAAATTTATGGCAAAAGCTTGGTGAAGAAAACTTCTTATAAAGAAGAAACTACGAATAGAAACTTTACTATATATTTTATATAATATATTTTATATAATTATGAAAAACAGTCATAGGAATTAGTTAAAACTTTCATCCCTTTCATTTATTACTCCTTGTCTCTTATGTTTTAACAAGGAGTTACCAAACTTGTATAACTGAGAAATACAATGTTCTGTCTCATCCGTAATGACTGTCATAATTATAATTATAATTACATAATTATACACTTTGTATTTGTGCCTAAATCTGGCTTGAGTTACAGTGGTTATAAAAAAGTAGTCACTGTCAATATATAATTTTACAATAATTTTCGTCAATCTAATAATTTAATCAACCTATTTTTTTGATTTATAATTTGATAAAATTATTGTTTATAAAGGACATGTATTTTTTTACTAAATATTTTCATATAAATATATATGTTTCTGTTTCTGAGAAAAATGTCTCTGAAAATTAAAAAATTAAGTAGCAGGGTGACATCAAAATATGACATAATGACATCTATTTTAGTCTACAAGACGTCACTTTGCTGTTTAGCAAACATAATTTAATATTTTACTTCTCAATTGTACTACGAAGAGAGTTCAAAAAGATATTATATATATACGCGCGCGTATGATTATAATCTTTACATTTTACAGCAGATGTTCCAAGAAGATATCATATTAGGAGCTCACCAAGTATTATAGAGGCATTTGCTCGCTGGACAAGCTTATCCACAGTGTTCTTGAACTCCTTGGATTCTTTAATCCTGATTTGTGCTCGGAACACTTCACCTAGGCGCGGTCTGCCCAACAGTGCCATTTTCTCCTCTTCCGTTCTCTCCTCCGGCTGCTTCAGCTCCGCCGCTGCAGCGATTCCTGCTTCCGCTGAAACCAGAAAATCGCATCTTGCTACTTTAATAATGTCGGGACACATTCTATAACAGAATAAGTGAGAAGCCGATTCATGGTCAGATAAGAACAGCAAAACAGTTTCTGTTAATTAACAGTTTTAATTAATTCCAGTCTGGCATAATAAATATGCGCGTCATATCGTTGTAAACTTCTTTACAGGATATTTTTGGATATCGAATGACCCATTTTTATATTTGCAAAATACTAAAAGTTTTAAGTACCTTCAAGAAGTTTTAACATCGAGGAACATTAAGATACGGACAGTTTTAAACCAAGTTAAATTAAGACAATTTTAAAACAAGTTATTTAAAAAATATACAATAACTCTTATATTATATAAAGTTACAAAATTTGTATATAGACCACATTTTACTTAAATTTTGAAAATTATTATTAACTATTCTTTAAATATATTTTATTTTTTGTTAAGATACTATTTTCTCAAAAAATCATGATATTATTTTTAATATAATATTGTTATTATTTTTATGTCTTCTATTCATATATTACTGATTTATATTACAGATTGCTAAATATTCTGTTTAACTCTTCCAGTTTTGCATATTGCATTATATATAAAAAATATATAAGAAATAATGTAACGAAAATAGATGTAAAAAAGTTAAATAAAATTTTTAGTATCAATTGTTAAAGATAAACTCACGCTACTCTATAAAGATCGATCGTATGAAAGCAATATTGGACAAGATTGATTGATCAATGTCCTCCATGTGAATCTATTAAAATAAACCTTAAACACAGAAGACGAGTGCGACAAACAGTCGCTTTCTCATCGTGACTTTATTATCGATTGATCTCATGAATTATAGTCGCACACCTCTCTTAAGCTAATTCCGTGCTTCGTACTTCGTGTCTGACCACGCATCGACTCACATCACTTGCATTAACACTTTTCTACCAGCGCATAGTGTGAAACTAATTCAGCCTAGAAGAAAAATATTGTTCTATGTGACTGCATACACAAATATGGAATGAATAAATATGAATACGATGTATTCATTTTTTTATTAGTGTTACGCAGTTAGTACGGCAATTAGTTTCAGTAGACAAAAGTACATTTTGAGCCATGTTATTTTGTTATCTGAAGAAATGTTAATATATAAAGAGGGATATATTAAGTATCCAGATATGTTATTCATGTAACGATAAAATTTTCTACGATGCAATGTGTATTGACGATTTTACACAAAGTGTGTTTGCTGCGCTATCGATGCATGAATAATACTCAATGACCACATTTATCTCCGTCATCGAGGGATGATCGATACTTTACACCGGGTGTTTCGATCGATGATGAATAACGCATTTATTGTTGGTATCTCCTGTCTACAGCCGTGATGGTATATGGTCGTATTTTATCGAAAAAATAAAAAACCAAATAAATCTGAAATGCGGATAAATCTGAAATGTGTTAAAATAAGAGACAGCCAAGAGATAAAAAAGAAATAGAGAGCGAAAAAAAATTATTATTATTATTAAAAGGAAATGTTATTATATATATTATAGATAAAAAAGAATATAAAAATATAGAATTATAAAACGCTACGAATTAATTCCAACACCTAATAAATAATTTGCATTAAAATAAAAAATTTTAACAAATTAATATATATGTAATTTCTTAAAAAATCCAAAATTATATTTAAAAATTTATTTTATTTAAGATCGTTTATAAATAGTTTATAGAATAGATTATAAATAGTTTATATCCTTTTAAAATGAAAAACAATTAGTGGATACACTTTTTCTGTAAATGATTAGTTATATCTCAATCACAACAGAAAAATTAAAAGATCTTTATTAGAAAAATGTTACTGCTTAATCGCTTCTTTATCCAGGAAATTTTCTAGAAACATCCTTTCGTAAGCGGATATAAATTTGTTTACCTTGGCTTTCACAGAAGTTCTAATGTTACTCCATAAAAGCTTCTTATAGTTCATATCTCGACTAAAGCTCTGGAAGTTAGCTGTCCGTATTGGCAAATTCAATTTCGTTTGACTTTTGCTTGATTTAGGATAGATATATCAACTGTTATCTCCTATAATACCCTCTCTAAACTTCGCGAAAGGTATTTTGTTAAATCGCTATGATGTTGTCAATATAATTTAAGGATTAAATACAACAATGACAGTAATAATAAAAATATTCAATGGTTTATTATATTTGTAAACAGTTTTTGACACTTTATCGGATAAGCGGAAAATAATCTTTTACAATACGCGATATAATCTGAAACATACAGCAAAATAATAAACATAATTTCTGTAATATCAGTAGTTATATAATAACAATAAAATAATGATATAATATTACATTCAAAATTATTACATTTACAAAACATTGTTGCCACTTGTAAAATAATAATAACAATCCGTTGAGCGCGGGTTTTTCATCGTATAGTATTTTCAACACAAAACAAATCTGCCGTTTATTTTTACTTTTTTCGTGTTTTTTGTACGTTTAATTTTATTTTTGCAAAAAAACTTCAGATAGATTGGTTTAAGAATTTTGTACGCTTTCAACATATTATACAAAAATCGGAAGAAAATTTTTAGAAATTTTAACCGATTTCTTGCTATGATTAGAGCAATAAAATCAAAATTAGAATAATAAATTAGTACCTATAAAGAGTACTAAATTCTTTGTACGTTTCCTGTTTCTGTTCATGTTAGCATGCTAACTTTTAGATAAGCTAGATAAAGTCATTCATAACTATCGGATCTAAAATGTATTCAAAAATAAAATTGTCGGAAAAATATATTGTTAAGTAAATAATTATTCAATGTATATAAATAAATAAATAATGATAAAGATATTTGAGATACGACATTTCATAATCTTTTTCTGAAAATTAATTAATTTTAATTTTTATAGACGATAATTAGAAAAGACAATCAAGATTGCTGTAAATTTGTTTTTCAAAGCCATATTTAATGCATCGTTGAATATTAAATCTCATTCGAGGAACACAATTTAACAGAAAGGGAGAACAAGAGATTAAAATGAAGGTCTTTTCTGACTCATTGTCAGACACAGATAAGATCAATAAACGATCGACCGATGAACGCCAGATGCAGTCAGGATGCAATTTATTACGCTCGAAATATGCTTTTATTTGAAAAAACTGGCGCGTTAAATTTGAGGTAAAGAAAATGTAATTTGCCTCAGGAATTATTCTATGTTTTGCTTTCTAATGTAATTTTGCTTAGTTAGCATTATGTATATCTCAATATTTCTTTGCTTGAATATACATATATAGTAGTGTGTTGCAGTGCATTTTAAGTGAATTACATTTTGTCACAATGAAATTAGCTCATATATATATATATATATACATTCTACATGCTTGCGTGAAAATATAAGTATATATTATTAATCTCATGTACTAATTTCACATAAAGTTTAAAATAGATCCTAAAATTTTGCATAAAATTTATATAAAAAGTTAAGACAAGCTTAGTTTTAAAACTTATTTATTTTCTTCATTTATATATTTACTTATTTATTGGTAGATAAATTTAAAAATCCGTTTCTATTTTAGCTTTAATTATTTAAAATCTCTTTAGTTTATTACTTTTTAGGTTAAGATATAACGTTCTTGACATTTTGCAATCGACTCTCATAAGATATACTTTTTTTTATTATACGTAATGACTGCATGGATAATAAATCAATAAATCAATAAATGAGATAATTTATCCAAACTAAATAAAAAATGCAAAATGAATCTTTTAAAAAACTTTTTATTTTTTATGTATTATAAAAAATAAATTACTTTCATTTTTTATCTGTTACAAACTTAAAATATTATTTGAGTCACTTATAATAAATAATTAAAAGTAAAAGTAATCATGGGAATATTTATACAGAAAGAAAATTGTACTATTCTTTTATTGAATGAGCTTCGCAATCGAAAAATTGCTAGCTATTGCAAAACTGGGACACGATGATTGAATACAAGCATTGATAACTAAATATGGTCCTGACTTTTCCATCAGAATTTTAAACTTGATTGGGGACGGCAAGTCAGAAATAGATGACTGCGGAAAATCTCGTCTCATTTTGCAAAGTTTTTTTAACTTACGAAGGTTTAACTTACGAATGGTAGTGGAATTTTCACGAGTGCTTCTCGATCAAAACGTCGAAATTATCGGAAAACATAAAGAATGGTAGGCGGAAGCAAACGAAAAATTCAGTATACGAATGTAGTAAATCTTTCTCCAAATTTTTTAAAAATTTCAGAGATCTATTTATAAGAAATATATACGTTTAAGTTAAAAGATTTTTAATCTTTTTGAAAAAAGTTAAAGACTGAAGAAAGTAATAAAAAATTTTTAATTACAATGATATATTATATTTTTTTTAGTTAAAAGATTATAGACTGTTTAATAATAGTAGATTACAGAAAATAGTTAATATTCTATAAATGAGCAATAAATAAAACATAAGAAACAGCAAAAAACTTAAAAGTCTTTACTATATATTAGCATATCAATAAACACGGACATATCGCGTGCAGTAAGTAACGAGGCAAATCGGTATTTATGCGCGAGCTGTCAAGTTGAAAGTACTTTAGATTACCGTATCTCAGAAACGCCAATTGAGTTTCTAATAAGTTTAATCGATAGCCGCGGTTCCGATTATACCATGAACATGCTTTAACTCCATATTCTATTCGAGTGGGTATGAGTAGAGATATTGCAATGCAAAGATGTCCGAAATAGGAAATTATGAAACGTCATTATTGTACTGATTACTGTAGATAAAACGTTTTTCTTCAATTTCTAACACAAGGTTAGACTAGGAGTGATTGAAACAATCTTGATACTGTCACATATATGTGTCAGAGATAATAATCAGAATAATATGGTTAACCTCCGAGAATTTAATCGTGACAGATATTTCAGCGAAACTCTACATATTAACGTTTATATATCCCAATTGTTGTAAAA